CTTAAGTGATACTCCAGTTTCCTTCCCTCCCTTTCTCCCTTATCTCTCCCTCTCACTTTAAAAAGGCTTTAAAAATGTGTTTGTACATAAGGTCAGTCCAACATAGATTTCTGAACATAGGATTGATAGGGTTTCTAAAAGAAGTTGCTGAAAAGATAAAATTAGATATTCTGTGCACTTCCAGAGAACAACCATTTGTGTTTGAATTCCGGAACAGGCTTACATTTGTCATTTTTTATTTCTGTTGATTCCCCTGCAGATTTGCATAACTTAATCCTGTCCATTGTCCAGATTTCTCATGGCTACTCTACCTTTTACCTTTTCAAATTTTGTTCTTTGCTTTTTATAGTTTTTTATGGGCTATAGGAAATAGGCTACTTCTGTTCACTTCTCTCAGTGTTTCAAAATCAAGTTTGTCTGTTTATTTATTTCATCCATTCATTTCCTGTTGTCATGTAGTGCTATTTTAATTATATACTTAGTGCTTTAAATATCTCCTGTGTTATTCAACATGATAATAAATCCTTACGTAAAGAGAAAACTATTTTATCTTTCTTTTACTTAAACTAAAAAAGAAGGGCCCAGAGGATCTGGAGTAGCTTGCGGAGTATTTGGGAAGTAGAGCAAGGGGCAGCCCCAGTGGAGGGTGGGAGTGCAGGAGGCCAGACGGAGCTGTCCGCCACTGCCCTGGGTGTCCCTATGGGCGGCATGGTTTAAATGTTCCTGCCAGTTGGTAAATTGGCACCAGGTTTCCCGTGAAATGGTCTAATGTCCATTTGCAGCATAAAGTCATATTTTTTATGCTCCAAATCATCTTTTTCCTTTCACCTGTTTTCCTCTAAAACTGCCACCCAAATACTTCCTTATTCTTAAATGGAGTCAAGATGAATTTATCATTCTACTGGCTTAAAACATGTAAGCAAACATCTCTGTGGAATAGGGCTGAATTTGGGCACAAACTTGTTTTTCCCTGAGTTATTCTCTGATTACTGCAGGAACTTCCCTCCAGGCATGGGAGAGCACAGCACTTTGCTAACAGCTTCCTCCTCTTATTGGATTGTGAGGCACCCCAGGCCCCTCTTGTTAAAATCAGCTGAGAGGCAGCCGCCCATCCCGTGTGTGTGTGCCTGCGTGCGTGTGCGTGTGAACAGCCACACCTGCTGGGAACTTCTGGCGCGTGCTCAGAGCATGGGCTCTCTGGCCGGGTGCTTTTCCACCATACCACCCCTCAGATGTGGGGCAAATGTGGATGCAGCAAGACCTTAGGGGACGGGGATCATCTTTCTGTTCACACTATATGCATTGCTTTGTCGGAGCTTCCAGAATGGAGCATCTTTTAGTTCAGTTTATAAGTAGAAAAGCAAAGCCTTCAAAAACAAAAACCTGCTTAGTATTTTTGTCCTTTAAACTAGGACATAGAATCCTCACTGTAGGGGTTGAGAGATGCTTCCAGACCCTTCCTACCTCCGAAGTCGCTCTCCCTTCAGTAGCTGTCTGCCTTTTTCTCCTGACTAGAAACTTTATGTCATGGAGGTAAGTCCCTTCTTTGGTTACACTGGCAATTCGGAGAACAGATACAGGAGCATGGTGGGGAAGGAGGCACCGTTTGTCTTCCATTAGCACCGGGTTACGGCTCAGGTTATGCAACTGGCGGAGTGACCCAAGGATTGGTCCTGAAAGTGTTCAGGATGGAGGGGAGCTAGAAAGCAGTGAGGCGGGAGGTCGTGGGGCATTTAGCAGAGGAGCAGAGTGGAGAGTCCAGGAAGAGCTCAGGAGCCATGTGCCGAGCTGCAGCATGGTGGGGAGAGAGACCTGAGTGCCTAGGACAGGCCTGTGTCCTTTGCAGTTTGAGTTTGGGCTCTATAAGTACTTCATGGTCCAGTGCCTTCTGCCTGGTGGGTGTGTCCCTGTTGCATGGTTCATGGAACCTCTGTTGTACTGGCAGGTGCTTTCTAGGCTGGCAGTGTTTTTGCTCAAGGGCATCATCATTTCATGTTTTTAGGTATTCTTGAAATCAAAACGGGGAAATGTGCGTGTTTTTCGTTTGAAAGAAAGGCATACAATGAGACTAGCAATCTTGTTAAGAACACGTGTTTTCAAAGTCAAAGATTTCAGAGTTTATGAAGAAAAAGGCATTTTCCTCTCAGTGTGATTAATTTTAAAAGATCTATACTAATCTACATTTAATTTTAGGGCTTAGCCTCTTCTTATTTGATGAAGTTTAAGGCATGGGTTTGTGTTTTGATGGTCAAGCTCTAAAATAGTGCAGATAGCCCCCAAATCTTTAAACATAGCGGTGCTAAGTTATACCAGATAACACAATACAGAAAAGTGCTGATATGAATTTAAGTGTTTATTCAGTAATAATACATGAATTCTTGCTAAATTATACATGTATATCACTGCCTGATTAGAAACTCCACTTTTCTAGTTCGCAAAATCAAACTGTGATTCTACAGCGAGTCTTTTTTAATGGGTAAAAAGGACCCATTTTTTGTTTTCTATGGAAAAAAATATTTTTTTTTTTACACTGACTTCCAAAGTGCTTAACAAAGTTTTTTCAGAGTAACTAAGCATGTACTCCTTTTTTAACTTGCTGGAAGAGTGTGCCCCTCCTATCTATCATCCCCAAAACACAACTTCTTTTAGAAACTGATGTTCTACCTAAAAATAGTAGTTTGTTAGTCAGTCTAGGTCAGCACTAGTTTCCCACATGTCATCTTCAAGGGGTGATGTCCCATCTACAGATAGAAGCCACTAGGTGGGGAGGTGTTAATCACATTTGGTAACCAGGTAATCATGTGTATATACTTAGTTTGGCTTCATTTTAATACTGTATTCTCTCTGCTACTCTGCACTTTGGGTTCTTAAGCTATTTTAAAACAAACTGGGTTCTGGCAAGCACCAACTGAAATGTATATGGCAACTGCTTTCCTAAGCAAGTGTGATTTGTGTTATGGCTGTTCAAGTTACAAAGTTCTTATATTGTAGGTATAGGTAAAAATCTGTTTTTAAAGATGACTGTAACTTGAGGTTCAGATTTCTGGATCTTACTAGTATTCACTTCTGAAGCTAATAAGATACCACAGTTTTCTATGTTACTCTCATTGTAACATCAATAAAGTGAGTTTCAATAAAAGATTTATGCTATTTTGACACATGACTCCCTTTCATCCTATTTTTCCTTCCAGCCACTGTTTCTCATTCAGAAGCTTTGTCTGGGTATCCAGAGGGGGTTCTTTCTGTTCCATGCTGAGCTAGGAGGGAGCGTCACCACGATGAGAAATGCAATCCTTTAGAAAAACCTGAATGCTTATTGTGTTGGACAGTTTCCTAGCTGGGTGGCAGTCGTCTGTTTAGCCAACTGCTCTGCCTCACAGGTTCTGGCCCTAACAAGACCACCTTCCTGAAGCCTGACTTGAGTCCGGGAAGTGTTTGCCTAATAAGCCCATCTGTGCTAGGCCACAGCGCTGAGGTTCATGAGTTCACTGACCAGAACATTGTTCCACCTGCATTTTGTCATCTCCCAAGCAGCTTTCCCCCATCAGCCTTTCCCCTGGTGTTTGCAGTTCCCTTGCCTGCAGCTCATAGGCTGCTGAGGGAAAATGTACTCATTTGAAAACTAAGTAGTCAAAGTACTGTGTTAATGTGAGAAAAATCGAAGTTGTTGACTAAGGGTTTGAACATTCATTATGAAATTTATGAATTATAAAAAAATATATGGCAGTTACATCTACCTCCATTTCTTGTACTTATGCTATTTTAGACATCGAATAATTCAGATGAGCTCTGAAACAGTAAGAGCTGAGCAAAAGCTAAGTCTGGTTCAGAGATAACAGAAGTTTTAGCTCACGCGCCATCCCAGGGACAGATGGGACCACTGGAACACCATGCGGCGGTGGAGTCTAAACTCCACTTGGGCTCAGCAGGAGAGAGACATGACTGATTAAACATGACCACTGTGGCTCAAACGTATGCCAACTGTCTCCAGGGAAGCACCAGGCTTCCTGCAGCCACATGCCTCTGGAGTGCTTGAAGAGTTAACAAGTACTTTATAAATCATGAATCTCTTCAAACACAAGACTAAAGCACACATCTCCAAAATTAAATTAACATCTTGAGTTGGGGTGATTGGAGGAACTTAATCCTTCAAATAACAAGTATTCAAGTGTGAGCTCACAGCTTTACTGTGCTCCAGCTCGAAGCTTTAAGAAAAAAGATCAAGGAACAGTTTTAAAGAGGTGGGTGAGGCTGCACTGGAAGTATATAATGAATGAAATGCAAAACACAAGATAAAGTAGAAATAAGGCAACACGAGATTCACTTGTAATGAAGGCTTTGGGTATAATTAAAGAAAGGGGATGGACACATCAAATTTGTTGGGGGGAAGGAAACTTTCTAACTGCAGGGACATACTGAAGACGAGGCTCCATGCTTTCAGAAACAGTGGAGGTGGAAGACGTAAGACTCACTAAGGTACCAATAACAAAACCGAGTTGACTGAAAATTTCCAGAGACGTTGTTTTATAATACTTTAGCATTTACCCAAAGGCAATCATGATGCATCACACCTTGGGACTTTTCAAAGCAGTAGGATGGGTCAAATATGGCCTATGACCTTGGGTCAGCAAGGGCCTTCTTCCTTACCACATAAGAGCCACCCAGGAAATCATCATTTCCTTAGGCTATGATTTCCTCAGAGGATCCTTGCGAGTTGGAAGCAAACAGGAGGTCTGGAACTCTGCTGGTTCTTTTTAAGTCCTCTTCCACCCTTTCTGAACAGCTCCGGCTCAAGCCAAGCTTTCTGGCCTCACACAATGTATCTGGAATAAAACCTCGCCTCACTACATACTAGATAGCAGACTGCCGTATTATTAAATACACAGCCTACGGGTGACTACTTGACATAAATATGTAATTTAGGGTTTAAGAAATATTTATAAAATGAATAAATATATTTTAGCAATATTTGAAAGAAAAATTAGTGAAATGAGGCTGAAGATACTTAGAAATGTTTTATTTTCATTGGTTGAGAACTAAATTGATCATCTGAATGGTAACTCTCACATTGTGTCCTAAAATAAAACATACTCTGCTGGCAGGGAGAAAATAGACTAATTTTGCTGTTTTATCTGTTAAGCTCGCTTGCAAAAAAACCCCAGCAAACCAGGCTAGTGTTAAATTTAAGGAATAGAAACATAAATTAGTGATGATTATACCAACACATTTTTCATATTCAGAACTACCTCCTTTTGAGCAATGAGAAAACTTGAAGCTCTGAAATTATCCAAAATGATCAAACCACATATTTAGTAAGAAGTTAGCATCAGAATCCAGATCTTAAAACTGGAAAAAAAAATGTCTTCCATTACAAATGTAATACTTGCTTATCAGAAAATATTTGGAAAAGTACTAGGATGGAAGAAAAATCCTGACTCACAGTGGGAGCCACATCCACATTTCGGTACACTTTTTCCAGTCCTTTTGCTGTGGATATTTTTAAATTTAACATGAACATGGCATATCAAAGTGGATATATGAATATTTTAACATCTTCTGATGTTAAAATGAAAGCACACACATTATAGGAAACTTGGAAAATACTGAAATGCATGAAGGGAACTAAAGTCACCTAGAATCCCATTAGCCAAAAATAACCATAGTCAATATTTTCTTATATTCCCTTAATTGTTTTCTGACAATTTTCTTTTTTACATAGTTAAGTTCATAAAGTACAAGACTTTTCAGTATAGTTAACAAAGGTCTATATGCATGATGACAAGGAATTTGGTGAAAGATAGTCATTTGTCACTCAAATTGTTCAATAGGTTTTCAAGAGGCAGAAAATCATCAGTCTGGTTCTCTGTCCATTCATACGGCCACCAAAATATCTGTAAGCCTTAAGGTTGCCACTGAGGTTAACCCTGACATTTGATTACCATGTTTTGTTTGTTGCATCCAAGAGGGTCTAACCATTTATATAAGAATACTCCATACATAAAACTTTCAATATGATGCAAAAGCCCTTCTAGGAAAGACCACAGCTGTAGTCTGAAGAAAAAGTTTTAGTATCTTACAATGAAAAGTGTATAATGCGCCTTAACATTTCGCACACTTAAATTTACATGAGAAGCTTAAGCAAAAAATAAGGCATGAATGACAATGGCTCAAGGAAGTCTTAAATGCTGTTACAGACCTGATGTTAATAAAATTCCAAATATTTTATTATCAATACTAAAAACTTCAGTTGTATGTGAAGTAATAAACCTTTACAACAGCTGTTAAGGAAAAGTGGCAATGTAAGTTTGCACACATTACTGAAGGCAAAGAGTAAGAGCAAAAGAACTCCCATCGGAATGTTGATTATGTTCATCCAGCCTCCAGCTTCCTCTTGGTTTAAACACTCATGACACATTGAATGAACTGAAAGAGAGAAACTGAGCATTAGACTGTGGACATCGTAACACCAAATACACCTGAGCTTTTTTTTAGGTAGCTTACATTTTGGTTTTCTAATTTGAATTGTCGATAATAAAAAAAATCCTTTCTAAAATAAGAGTAAATGATGGGTGGAAAGGGAAGCAGTCTAATATAAAATCCAATGGGATTCTCACATCAAAGCTGCTTAAAGGAAGCATATCTTACTCCATGGATAAGGAATTCTTTAAATTCTGAAGAGTATCTCAGGCTTTTGACCTACCCATTAATAGAAACAACAGTTGCTTTTATGCTGTTTTATCACAAGACTTCCACACTGCAGTACCCCACTACTCTAACAGTGCTTTTCAACAGTGTGTTCCTCTAAAACCTGCCTTATTACAATAAATCCTGGTATGCAAGTCTCTGTATGCACAGAAAGTGTCTGCTCTTTCCCCTGGAATTCAGAAGCCTGGGTCTAGAAGCATCAGCACTGGCTGTGAAATGTTTGTCTCACCACTAAGCACACACCGAGAGACTCTACTTTTCTACCGATTTTCTTCATCCCTCTTCCAGCACCAGCGAGGCACTGTGGGCTGGGTGACCCTTGTAAAACTATCCTCAAGGCCACACTAATTATCCCTATTTCAGGGAAAAGGAAACCAAAGATCTGGACATTTCACTCTCTCTCAAGGGGCCCCCTCTGAGGTCAAAGCCTGTGACCCTGCCACTCCACAGGCTGCCTCTCCATCTTGGGAAAGGGTGACAGCTACCACCTGAGATGTGAATGCACACTAAAGAGAACATACCTCTAAGCAGAAAAAGTAAACATTTACACACAAGCCTTCTTAAATTGTTTTTATAACCGCGGCAGCTGCTAGGCCAAAACAATGTGCATCTTTGTATTTTGTAATAGAGAAACATTTTAGAATGTTGAGTTATAGTCACTGCTATTCTAAAGTGATATTTTAATCAATGGCTGCACAAAATATGGAAAAACATCTCCCTAGCTTTGTTATGTATATCCAACTAATACCATCAAAGGTGGCACTTGTTTACTGTCACACTGGTCATGTGGCTTTATCCTACATCTTTTTGGGCAGCTGTGTAGTGAATACAGTTTTAAATTGTAACTTGTTTGTGCTTTATGTCCTCGATGAAGAATGGGGGTGTGCCGTGTGCATCTCTGAGCTGTTCAAGTCACTTCTCAACGACTGAGATGATCTAACAATGGGAAAGGCAGACAGAACTCTGCGTGGGTGTTGAGGACATACCTGGTCAAACTCAAGCCCAGTGAAGGAGGCATTATTACTGCTTACTGCTTTCTCCTTCCTCAGTCTCAGAGCAATGAAGAAACTGCCTAAGTGATCCAGCTAAGTAAGTGGGGCAGGCTGGGCTTTGACCAAGGATTTTTTAATGAAAATCAAATACTGGTCTATCGATAAGACTAGTAATAAATGAAATTAATAAATTTGGAATGGTAACTCCTTCTAATCATTTAAGCTTGATTGCTCTAGCATCCTTAAGATGCTCTTAACATCTGACTTAAAAAGCGATGCCCATTTGATATATACCTTATTCATTTACTCAGTTCTGAATTTACTGAGACTTACATCATCATATGGGAAATTCACAACACCTTGCTGAGCAGTATCCCGTCTTCGAAAACTATCTGCAAAACACCACAGCAAAATGTACTGGTTTTTTAAAATCATCTTATTTGAAATCATATTAGTTAATTATTTTAGCATAGATTCAAACTGTAGTAACATTTACACTGTACAACCAGCTAACACAAAACAAAACACAGAGCAAAGAAATCAACTATATGAATATCAATAGATTTCATATACAACAAGGTAATACAATATACAGAAGGTGGCCAATTGTCTTTTTCAACGTGGAACTGGAAGAAAATGCCTTATCCCAAAGTCAGTAAAGCTCTGGTGAGTTCCAAGGCCATTACTTGACTGTGATGGAAGCACAGAATTTCAGACTTCTTTACAACAAGGGTATCATTTGATTAAAACAAGATGGTGTTCTGAACATGACAAATGGCTGTGACCAACTAGTCCACCCATTTTGAGCTCTGTCCTAGTGAAAAGGATTTAATAAAAAATCTCTGCTCAATGCAAGAAAATTATGAAACCACATTAAGAAAGTAAAAAAAGGAAGGTGAGGGATGGGACAAGAAAAAAAAATATACCAGAGGAAGAAAAAGAATAGAGGGAACAGAAAAGTACAGATTATTGATAATAGCTTCATTTAAGAAGTATATCTGAAGCAGAGGACCACTATTTTATGCTGCTTTCCAACAGGAGGAATCAGAAAAGACAGCCTCTCAAAAGACTAATTTCACTCTTTCCACATATTTCAATTCGAGGGAGAAATCACAGAATACTCATAATCTGATTTAAAAAAATATACAAGTAGCCTGTTTATGTTTTGGAGACTTTTAGTAAAATTTAGTTAGGATTATTTAATGGCAGATTACTTATTAATTTGAAAAGACTTCTGAAAAACATTATTCTACTAGATATGCTCAATAGCAATATTAAAAGGCCACTAAAATTAGGGGGGAAAAAGATTGTGAACAGTAAGAGTTCAGAAGCACTGAGAAGTGAAATATAAAAACTGTGCCTTTTTGGCCCATGGTGGTAACACCCTCTCCAAGACCACACCTGTGAGAGCTCGCAGTTTGACGCAGCAGGCGATATAGTCATCGAAGGTGATCTTGCCATTGGTGCTGTATCGTTTTGCAATTGAATTCACAGCCTGGGGACTCAACCTAAATCCTGGAGGGAGGAAAAATCACCCAGCAAAGATAGTTAAAGGATTACAAAAAGCCGATTAAAATAATCAGGCATAATTGTTTAAGACTGAGTGTATTCATTTCAATTGTGAATACACACTACTTTGACAAAAGAGAAACTGCCTGTAGCACTTCCCTTGAGAATTAAAAAGAACTCTTCTACCAAGGAAGAGAGAGCTGGGGTTGGCCATACCCACCCATTGTTGTCAGGGCCTTCTGCAGTTCCTGAGGATCCACAGTTCCACTCCTGTCACTGTCAAAACTGATGAAGTGCTGTCTCCAGCCATTCAGTACAGCCCAGAGTTCTTTAAACTCATTGAAACCCATCGTGCCTGACATATCTCTCTGAGCTGTAATCAAGGATAACAGCATCTGTATTTTGCAACATTTTTTAATGGTTAAATCAAAGGTCAAGGGTATGGGAATCCAATTTCTTTCTGCTAAAATGTTACATGTTCTTGGCATGATATAATAAAATGATCCTCTAATGATATAAGAAGAAGGGCCCAAGGAGACAAAGCTCTGAATCCATATTCTCACTATGGGGAAAAGATAATCTATGTGATGTGACTGCGAGGAAATAACATGGCCACTGTGAGCCACATGTAAAAAGCAGTCTTGTTACTGGAATAGGGCTGCCCTTTCTGGGTGCCTCAGGCTAGGCTACTTACCCTTTTGTCTTGGGGTCCTCTGTGGCCCTAATGCTCCCTTGTTAAGCCCCCAGACCCAGGCTTTTCACTTTTGGGAAATGAGGTGGGATGGAAGGCACGACAGGGCCCATCACTAGCTCAACTGAGTCAACAACTGTGAGGTGGAAAATTCCACCGCTTGAAGGCCAGGTTTGAACCCTAAAGAACCATCAGCGTGAAAGCCAAAAAGCTTCCCTGACCGCTCGGATTGCCACGCTCGTTTCTCTTTGATGCTTCCTTGAATTCTTGAACAACATTCTGTGTGCTAGGCTCTCTTCCTTTCTCCCACCGAATTACATCTTAAAGCTGATGATTGTGGCAAACTTTTTGTGGTCATTTGTCACTCTGTGTTTACTGGGTACTAATTCTTGGATTAAAACCTTGAGGAAGGAGGTTTTTTGGTCAAGTATAAATACTCTAGACAGCAATCTAGGTAAAGGATACATCCAGCATTGAAACCATAAGCCGACAAGTCTCCAGGTTAAAAGCTGTTAAATCAAAAAAGTACATAAATATTATTACAATTTTAAAAGCTGACATTACCCTGGGTACATTCAAATTAATTAGGAATGTGATCATTTATATACTTTTATTTTTATATGCTGCTGAACCTATGTGAAACTAAATTGTGGAGCTTTAAAGTAGACAGACAAGATTCCTTCTAAAACCCAATTTTGATTTTAACAACTTCAATTTTTTAAAAAAAAGTATTGCATAGTGCTGTTAGTATTTTCAAGTGTGTTTATGGTTTTGAAGTTGGGGGAAAAAAGTGTCCTTATCTTTTAGAAAAGTATACACTGATGTTTTTTGTATACAGAAATGTTAAGATGCCAATTGAATCTTAACATGGGAGTTAGGGGCACAGACCCCTGCATAGTCAAAAACGCACATGTAACTTTTGCCTCCCCAAAAACTTAACTAATAGCCTACTATTGACAGGAAGCCTTACTAATCATAAACAGTTGGTGAAGACGTATTTTGTATATGCATTATATACTGCATTCTTAAGCTGGAGAAAAAAAGGTTTCTCAAATTGTTGCAAATCTAAAAAATTTCCAACATATTTATTGGGGAAAAATATCTGTGTATAAGTGGACCCATGCAGTTCAAACCTGTGTTTCACAGTTTTGAAATCACATCTTATTTGAAATCACATTAGTTAATTATTTTAGCATAGATTCAAACTGCTACTACTTCAGAAGAAAATGGGCAAGTTTATAGATGAAATAAGAATGGAAACACCTTTGATAACTGTTGAAGCTGATTGATTGGTACACAGAAGTTCACTGTACAGTTATCCCTATTCTTGGATAGGCTTACATTTTTCTGTCACATTGTCTTTTATAAGTATTATATACCTTCTTGCCTTTGAAATTGTACTATAGTGAGTTCAGTTCACCATAAGGAGCCACAAGGTATTATATCCACCATGGTAGGTAGGTGGGACAATAGGTTTGCTTTGTTTCCTACTGTACGACAACTGACTGTAAATTGCTGGCTAGTTCTGTGTCTAATATTTGTTTTTCTTTCTTTCCCTTTAATGTCAGGTACTGAATGGTAACCTCCTACCTCAAGTAGCCTATGACCTCTGTTCATATTCCATAAGCTTGTATATGAAACCAGATAAATATTTTATAATTATGTGTTAAGTAAGAGCACTCTGGGCTGGTCTGCAATAACCAGTTCAGCAATGGCCACTGTTCAAAAGACTTTTTAGTTTACAGTTCAAGGGTGTTCTGAGGGCATTTCCATACCTCACTTAGACAACCAGACCAGAATACACTTACTGTTTAATGACCTACTGGGAACATACCTAGGCATACATAGTATGTATATGATCCACACTATACATCACTTATCCCAATGCTTTTCGCAACATCCCACACACATTGTTTGGGTTTGCACCCAGCACCCAGCACATGGTGGGTGCCCATTGAAAATTGTTGGACAAGTATGAGTAGATGAGACTGAATTCTCATCCCTGTGCAGAGCTGTATATACCCCTCTAAGAGAGTCTAAGAAGGATGTTTTTAAAATAGAATCTGATTTTTACTGATACTTAAAAATGATGTATAATCCTTTAAGTCAAATAGCAGTCTTAAAGTGAAAATACCAATAAGGGTATTGGGCTTTGATTTCTTCCATTTCAGAACATCTCCCATACTCATTAACTCAACAAACGTCTGTTAAGTACTCACTAAATGCAAGGCTCAGGAAACCAAGAACACTGGAGATACAAATGCAAAACTGGGTCCTGCCCTAGCTGAGATTCTAAGGAAAAGATATGTCATGAGCACATGACTTAATCAAGGTAGAGTGATAAGCCATAATGGAGATACTGAGAAATACCAAGAGGTATTGAGGTTCCCTCCTAGTAAGAAAGACTTCAGAGAAGTAGCATTTAAGGCAATCCTTGAATGATAGAAAAGATGTAGGACATCTGGTGACAGCCAAATAGAGCTAGGGACCAGGATAAACAGAGAAGCAGGAAAGTCCAGGGCGTGCAAAGGAAGTTGGAGGAAGTACTGTTTGATGAGGCCCCATTACAGAGGCTAATGCGTTCACCTTTTTTTCTAGGCACCAAGGAAGTACGACAGAGGGGAGTGACAGGTCAGAGCTGTATGATAGGAAGCACAGAAATTTGGAAATCTCATCTTCTGTGTGATTTAACAGGGAGGGAATGAGATGGGCAATGAATAAATGTTAACCAAGAAAATTTATCACTGCAGTTTAACGAGCTAGAACACTGACATCTAAGTTTGGGTAACAAAAACTCTTCTTGAATTTTAATTGTATTTTTCCCCAGAAATTGCTTTCGTTAATGTTGATTCTGTTTTAATTAATTTCAAAAGACTCTCTGCAATCATTTTACTTTTACTCTTCCCTTTTTCCCGTTCATTTTACCAGAATCCTTCAAGCCTCTTTTCTTCTAGTAGAAATTCACCATGTAAGGGACCCTACCTCTAGTTGTTTCTCTCAGACTTACCACAGAGAAACAATTACACTCAAGGCAAAGACAGAAGGTGAATCACTATCGTACAGACTAGAGCAACTTCCCTCATCAGCTCCACCTCGTTATGTCTGCTTCCTTTTAAACTGGTTAAGAAAATGCCCATAGGTATAGGCTGCAGTATCCCTTCCCCTTCCCCCATCTGTACTTTCTGGTTTGGAAGCTGGGTCTAGAAGACCAGTGGCTGTATAACTTCTGTATTACAGAGATCACTCTGACACATCCCCAGCAGGATGGTGAGGGGTGCCTTACAGCCTCCACAACTGGATGACAGTAAGGAAATTAATTCCATCACATGGTTCTGAGGCCTGACGAAATGTCTTCCCTGTAACTCAGTGGTCTAAGGCCATGACTTCGCCATCATTCTCAAATGAAAGCTTTAAGAGGACTGCTCTCCAAGGATATACAACCCACTTTGTTAGTGTGACTTCAAAACAGGCCACACCTCTTCTAATGAAAGGATGCAGAACAGCAGTTTATATTGTGACACAGTCACTGTTGTAAACCCTGACACTAGACCTTCTTTGTTCACTAGCCCCAACTGCTTGAAGTTAACAATGAACAATTTAATTGTATTACCTACAACAGTGAAAAGTCCCCTAATTGAGAAAGTGCTTCCTTTGTTTTGGACCAGCTTAAATGACATATGCAAAGCGTTCCTCTTTTGCATTAATTCCCCCATATTAATAGGATATTGCAGGAGATATTATTAGGATATTTATCGAAGTCATATAAAACAAAGGATAATAAAAACAGAAGGGTCAATCATTTAAAAAGAGAGCCATCTAGTAAATATGCCATCAAATGGTCCAAAAACGTGGTATAAATCCTCTGGTGTAGATCCCAGTTTTCAGCATTTTAATTCACAATTTACCAGGCAATTTGATGTGTATCTCAATTAACATCTGGCAAAGAAGTCGGCAGATAAGGCACTTCTGTCAAGACACTAATCTCCACCCTGGATATCTGCCCTGCTTGAGATCTGATTTGAGAAGAAGCATGTGGTACGTGTGTGGGATGAAGAGAAGGCCCTCTGGATGCAGCGTCTCTGCAATGGCTCCTCATTTGCAGCTCGTGGCAGAGAGCTCAAAGGGCAGGAAGGGATGTAAGTGCTGAATTATAAGGCCGCAGATCCTGTCTGAGAGGAACTGAGGAGGAGAGGGAGGAGGAGGACCAGTATAAAGAGCTTAGAAATTAGGAAGGGCATCTCTGACTTAGCCTGAGCTCCTCTCTGAAGCGGCAGGAAGAAAGGCAGGGGAAGGCAGACAGGTCCAACCACTCAGAACCAGCCCTAAAGGCCACCAGGCTCGGGACAGAGTAAGGGCTTGGCACACAGTCCGCAGTAGGAACTCCTGTCGATCATGACACCTGACCTGGCAGGCTTCATGTCAGCACTAACCTCGCCATCCACTGTGAAGGAAGCCACAGAAAGTAGGTCATTGCTTAGCATGAGTCCAAATACATGGAACCTACATCCAAGAAACCACTAAACTGGTGGGTAGTATGCAATGAGTTAGTAAGAACTGTTTTCAAAATAACATTTTGAAATAATGAACAGAATTTGGCTTCAAATTTCTAAATTTTGCTGATCAGAAAAGCTGGGTTTCCGTGAAGGTTATGATCACGGGAACAGCAAAAACAAGTAAGAGTACTTTCGGAGAAATTGGGGGCCTGCCAACTTACGTTTGTATCCTCCGGCAATGCCCGACTGTGTCAGGCATCTCTGCAATTCATCGGCATCTATTTGCCCATCCTTTTGAAAAGAAATGTGAAAAGGAATCACAATAGTGATTTGTACCTTCTAGTTCTTTACTTTCAATACTCAGTGTAGCAACAATAACAAAGATAATGAGTATTATGCATTTTTCTAAAGCAGTCTTCCAAATACAGGTATTTTCTAGATTCTACTTTCAAAAATAATTGAATGATGAAAGAAAAACAAATTAAGTCCTCTTCCCCAAATTGGTAATTAGGGCAATGAACAATAAATGCATTTTTTAATACCTAAAGAGCACATTCAATTTCAGACTATTTTAAATAATTATTACACAAGAATTAACAAAGTCTGAAAGCTAGTTACACCTATACTTTAGTATTACCAACATCTTTTCACCATTTCCTCTAAGTTCCTCAATCGGATGTGGCATAAACCTTCTCAAGTGTAAGGTTCCTCTTTTAATAAAACACTGAGCTCAGCTTCCCCCATTGATAAATATTTTTTAATGTATAAATAAAACTACTTTGTCTTGAACTGCTACTCTCAGTCTGAGCTAGAAAAATACCAAAGTTAAGTATTTTCAAATAAATTATGTAGTTGCTTAAAAATCTTTTTTTTTTTTTTTGGCAGGGGAGGGGAGAGCAGGGTATACATACGACATCAGTAGATACAAAGCTTGGTTCTAACAGAGCGAAGCCTTTGTGATCATCTTTGCTTCTGATGGGGTGAATGTTTTTCCAGACCACAGTTGTATGTGGAAGAAACAGGTTCCTATTATTATTTATTTGCAGACCTTGTTCAGAAACTAGATACATGTTACTTCTAGGGATTTTAAAATTAGACACTAAATCTTCAAGTCCATGGGTATTTTAAATTCTAAACGAGGAACAGGATTAATAATTTGAAAGATGATGGATATGCTGATGCAGGCCAGGGCTGCTGAAAGCTAAACAGGTGGGGTCACTTACAGGGCTGGAGAGAGAGGCAATCTAAGAATACAGCCTAGAGCTCCGCCTGCTCTTGTGGTTTCAGAGATACAGATCATCAACAGATTGAGCAGATACTTAAAGGGAAACTCAGTTTCAGACTCAATTTTCCACTCAATTTCTCCAACTGCATTTCTTAGAATGCTATTCCAAAAGATGGTCTTGGGTTTCTACCCCATAGTATTCTAAGGTATTTTCATATAAAGATGGTGTTATTTCTCATTTTTCATCAAAAGAAAGCTAAGTTGGATTCAGAAAAGCAAACATGCCCTTTGGACACGTCTGGGTCACAGCAGCAGTACTTGTACCATACGCAGTGGCCTCCTGAGCAGGGGACGTGTCCTCCCCCAGTGCACACCACCGCTGTCACCCAACTCAGAGTGCAGGGAAGGGAAAGGTCTTGAAGGTCTTTATTCTCTCTCTGGGTCAAGAGGCCACAAGACCTAATAAGGGCACAGAAGAGCTGACCCAGTAACAACATCTGCATCAAAAAGAAACTAAACTGTACAAAATTAACTTCCTAATAGTAAGAAAAGAGAAGCAGCTTTCTTGTTTTGAAGCTGGTGGGTTTTTACCATATATACTGATTTCCTTAGGGGGCAATTGATTAATAATCAAATTCAAACCAAGGAAAGTGTCAAATTGAATCTGACTACATAGTTACTGGTACATTAAATTGTAAAATCAGGGATTTCACCATCTCTGGGATTTCTTTTCTGGAAATTCCCCTCACAACTCGTAGTTCTAAAAGTATCCTTCCACCTTACAGATCTTCAAAGTAATTTAAATCCCCCGTTTTATTCAATCTGACCCTAATTCAATCACTAGTTTAGTTTTGGACTTAAAATAAATAGGAGTAACACTCTGTCCTAATTTGTTCTTAATATTCAGAAATAAGAAACCGACTATACATTTCCTTCTTTCTCTTTTGCAGAGGCAAAAGGATTCTTTCCCTGAGGCAAGTGCATTTTTCTGTGCTATAACAAAGGCTAATACAGACGCAGACTCTCACAATTCTTTAATATTTAAAGGAAAGCTAACCTGTCCAGCTACAGCAGCAAAATAGCCATACAGCGGGTCCTGAGTTTGTCCAGGAAATGCAGGTCCTCCGGGGGCCCCTCCATACTGTAAAACAGGAAACCAAATGCATCATGCCGCTGAATCAAGTTTTATTCTCTGGCCATTGAGTGCCTTTGTGCAAAGCCAGGCAATTGCCCGCCCCTCATCGTTTACTCCCTGTCACCAGGCACACTGGAACTGCAAACAGTCCACCCCTTTCTTCCACTCGCACTCCATTATAATTTAAAAACTGGCAGTTTGGACCAAAATGAGTTGTCTGATAGTTAACATCTATGTAAGTGAAGTAACTTTAAAAATCCTTATTAGCCTACAGGTTACTGAGGTAAATACAACCTGGGCAAGCCACTTATGAACACGGCTCGGAGTTGCTTTCCTTTTATTTTTACAGCGTTCATGGTATTTTAAAAGCGCTGGAGGCAGGTGTAGCCTAGCGTGCGATTAGGTGTCTGGCGGGGCTGTTTCGCAGCCAGGACCGGGGCGGTGAGACGGGAGAACGTCCTGTCCCGGAACAGTTCCCACGGCGACGCGCATCCCTGCGCCCGGGAGGCAGCCCTCCTCCCGCAGCGGTCTCTCCCCGCCTTTTCTTTTTCTCTCACTTTCTTTTAAAGAGGGAGAGGTAGATGTCTGGACCATTCTAGATTAAAATGGCTGTTGCTCTCAGGGGAAACAGAGAGGGGAAGCAAGCCGACGTGCAATGTGTACAATTTCACGCCACGCATCCTAGAGTCACAGGGCGGGCTCCCTGGGTTAAAATACACCCGGCGGAAGACGGGACAGACCCGAAGGAGCCGGAGAAAGGGGCAAAGGGTAGGGTCTGGGTCGGGCGGCCGGCAGGCAGAAGCCGGGGGTGGGAGGCGCCGGGAAGCCGCCCCGACACGGGCCCCCAGCGCGGCCTTTCGGTGTCGTTGGTGTCAAGGGTCGGCCCGGGGCCGCGACCCGCGCGGGCAGCACTTACCCCGCCTGGGTAGTACCCGCCGCCAGCGCCAGGGTGCCCCGGGTAGGCCATGGTGCAGACTGCGCCGCCGCCCTGCGCCCGCTGCCGGCCTGCCGCGCGCCGCCCCGGAGCGCACCACGTGGCGGAGGAGCCCGCGCGTCCGCGCCGCCTCCCGAGCGCGTCCGCGGGCAGCCGCGGACCCCTGCCTGCGCGCTGCCCTATCTGTGCGTTTACTGTGCCCAGGCCGAGTAAAATCCAAGGTCCGGGAAGTGACTTCAGACCCGCGATGCAATCCACACCAAGCACTTTCCTCCCTTCGAAACAAATGGCACATTCCAACACCAATACTGTGCCCCGGGAATTCTTTTTTTTTCTTCTTCCTACTTGGCAATTGTCTGATGCGTTTTTTATTTTAAACAACTTCATTGGACTAGGCCGACAGGCTCTAAGCAGAGTGCACTATTGCGGGAGAAGGGCAGCTCTTAGATGCCTGTGGAGGAAGGAGACAGTGAAAGAACAAAATATGAAAGTGTCCTTGGAAACCAGCAGTAAACCTCAGGAACTGTGTGCAGGGAGTGTAGCTTGAGATTGCATTTCACTGAACAACAATAGTGTGCTTCCTCGCTAGGGGATATTGGCATCTCCTGGTTAAGCTGGGCGTAGTTCAGATATGGGACAGAGGGCATTTACCAGGGAGGGCAGCCTCGCCCAGATCCTTCTTAGAAAATAAATTGTTTGAATTATCTCGCTGATTCAGACAAAACCCTCTCTCCAAAATACTCAGCTACTTTTTATGTAAGAAAAGTTTAGAGCAAGCTAAGAGCGTGTTCGTAAAAACTCAGGAAGGTGAGAGACTAGAACTTAGGTGATTCAGACAATGATTTGCTTTACTTGATTCATTTTTCTTGTTCATCCAGTTGAACAATCTAAAGCAATTCTGATGTGAGGTTTTTGTTTGGTGGTGTTTCATGTCATTTCAGTCAGGCAGACTGCTAACGTTTTTAAAAATGCATTAATGAGCAAGATTCACACAGAAAAATTGAATCACTAACATTTACAAGATTGGAGCACCTGCTGAGTGCAGTACTGTATGTTCACAGTGGTGGACGGTGGCCTCAACGGAGCTCACACTAGGGTCATTGCTTTCCTCTTATTGTAACTTCCCTCCAAGTATTCTTTTTGGATACCTAAACTCCAAAAATGAAAGTCCTGAATTATGAGAAAAATTCTAATGGGCCTTGTTGTCTCAGGTCAAATAAACTATTTATTATTACCTAGTTTGTGATCCAGGAAGTAGGTTACTGTGTTCAAATACCATAGCAATCATCGAGGTAGATAAGACATTTTACGAGTACTTTTAAAATTATTATTGTGATAAGAACACTTAATATGAGAGCTACTCTCTTAACACATTTTTAAGTGTACCATACAGGATTGTTAATTATATGTGTAACAGGGCTGGAAGGAGTTAAAAACTGGTCTCTAGCTCCTTGCAGGCCACCAGGAGCAGATAAGGATAACCAGATGGACAGGGCAACATTGTCTATTTTGTTCCTGGAGTTGAGAGAGAGAGAAATAGTCCTTAGAGAGGAGAGGAGAAGAACTAAAAGATACGACAGACCCGTAATCAACACTCCCTCTTAGATCTGCCAAACTAAGGGCAACTCTGCACAGAGGCTTGTCAAGAACTTGCTTGCAGCTTGAGAGTTCAGGCAAAATAATTGTCCTATCAAGAGTTTATGTGTGCGTCATGAAGGGACCTGTGCTAATGGAAGTCAACTGAGCAAGGACTAGGAGCTCCACCACCCTCCTCAGACCCTAGCTGATGTCCTGATGGCACAGTTACCTGTCACCTCCTGCCCCCCATCCTCCTCCCTCTTTTCCTAGCAAAAAAGGAGCTTGAAATCAACCCTGAATTAGGATGGGTCTTTAGGACAATAGTTCCCCCTCCTCCCCCTCCCAAGCTGTGGGCTTGTTGAATAGAGAGCTTTTTCTCATCTTGGCACTCTGCCTCCTGATGGTCTGGCTGAATTGGCAGCAATGGAACCAGATGTTCACAGTTATATATGCAGTGTTGTACAGCACATCTCTAACTGTTCATCTTGCATGACTGAAAATCTATACCCATTGAACAACTCCCATTTACACCTCCCTCTAGCCCCTGGCAACCACCATTCTACTTTCTGTTTCTATGAGTCTAATGACTTTAGATATTTACATGAGTAGAATCATGTAGTATTTGTCTTTTTCTGCTCAACCTATTTCACTAAGCATAATGTCCGTGAAGTTCATCCACGTTGTAGCATATGACAGGATTGCCTTCTAAGTCTGGATAACAACCCATTGTAATGATATGCCACATTTTCTTATACCCATTCCCTGTATGCAGACCTTTGGTTTGCTTCCATATCTTGGCTATTGTAAATGATACTCTAAAGAACATAGGTATGCAAATAACTTCTTTGGGATCCTGATTTCAATTCTTTTGGGCAAACCCAGAGGTGAGATTACTGGGTTATACAGTAGTTTTATTTTTAATTTTTTGAGGAACCTCTGTGTTGTTGTCCATGGCTGCCACACCATTTTGCATTCCCACAAACAATATTCAAGTGTTCCAATTTCCACATGCTTGTCGGCACTTACCGTCTGATGCTGTTTTGGTAATAGCCATCCTGACAGGTATGAGATGATATCTCTGTGGTTTTGATTTGTGGTTCCCTGACATTTAATGACACTGAGCATTTTTAATATACCTGTTGGCCATTCATATATTTTCTTTGGAGAATGCTTACTGGAGTCCTTAGTCCAGTTTTTAGTCCAGTTATTAGGTTTTATTGCTATTGAGTTGTAGTACTTACTTACATATATTGGAGACTAACTCCTTTTCAGTTATATGGTTTGCAAATATTTTCTCCCTTTCCATGGGTTGGTTACCTTCTCATTCTTTAGTTTCCTTTGCTGTGCAGAGTGGCTTAGTTTGATGTAGTCCTGCTTGTATTTGTTTTTGTAGCCTATGCTTTTGATGTTATTGTCATGTACCACTGCCAAGACTAATGCTGTGAAGACTTTCCCTTGTATTTTCTTCTAGAAGCTTTATAATCTTAGGTCTTACATTTAATTCGTTAATCCATTTTGAGTTAATTTTTGTGTATGGTTTAAGATAAGGTCCCATTTCATTCTTTTGCACGTGGATATCCAGTTTTCCCAACACCGTTTACTGAAGAGACCATCCTTTCTCCATTGTGTGTTTTTGTCACTCTTGTCAAAGATCAGTTGAACGTATATGCCTAGATTTATTTCTGGGCTCTCTGTTCCTTGGCCCCTGTTTTAAAATATTTCTTTGTAAGGAGGTAACCAACCATAAAGACTAGATAGGAAGGGGAGAGCCAAAAGTTCAGTATAAGCTCTTCCAAGACTCAGGTTTGAAAGAAGTATATAGCATACAAGGTATGTGTTAAGTAATACAGAATTAGCTTCGTGGAGAGGTGACTATGCTAATTGTCATTGGAGTTGTCTTTAGACCACTTCCTACTGCATGAGTGTTGAAGAGCTGAATTGAATAGACTGCTGTAAGTGAAATTCTTACAGTTATTGCTAACAAATTGGTAAGCAGCTGCTGCTTTAGTTTATGAAAAAAATTGTGGTAACTAATAATAACAAACACAAAGATAGACTTCATATGGGCCAAGCCCTCTTTTTAAGCACTTTACGTATTTGCCTAATCCTCATAAAACCCCATGAGAAAGTGCTATCATCAACATCATTACACAGTTGAGGAAACAGAAGTTGAGAGAAATCGTCCAAGTGGAGGGAACACTTTGCTAAGTTGGGCTTCCATGCTCTGGCTCTTGAGTCTGTGTTCCACACCAGGGGGCAGCGTTCTGTGTAAAGGGCCAGGTAGTAAATACAGGAAGCTTTGCGGGCTGTCTGGTCTCTGTAGCCAACTACTCAGTTCTGCCTTTGTAACACACAAGCATCCATAAACAATACTCAGATGAATCAGTGTGGCTGTGTCCCATTACAGCTTCATTTATGGACGCTGAAATTTGAATTTCATATAATTTTCACATGTCATTAAGCATTATTCATCATTTTAGCTTTTCAACTATTAAAATATATAAATATTCTTAGCTTCTAGGTGTACAAAAACAATAGGTAGGCCAGATTTGGCCCTTGCATAGTAGTAAGCACTTTACCTATTGGTTTGCTATTAACTTGCTAATGTAGCTAATGATTTGGGCCTTTAAGATAAAGCTATGGGTAGCAGCCTCTGAGTCACCTTCTGGAATGAGGACCTCCTTAGGATAGAATCCCATGCATAGAATGGCTTCTTCAGAGTCATCTCCATTGCCCAGGAAGATGATCATAAGGACCACTATGAAATCCTGACTTGTGGGTCTTACCTGCACAGTAGCCAGAGGGTATGCACAATGACAAATCTGGATGCAAAGCTAACTTTGAGATGTTTATCCATATAATATGGATTCCTTTATTTATGGGCTGAGTATTGTCAACCCTAACAAACTGAGGGAAAAATACTCAATAAGAATTCTATAAAAATGGAAATGAATATAGGGAATTCACTCTTAATACTCTGATGTAAGGGGCAAAGTTGCAGGGTAAAAGAAATAAGCAACTTTACAGAGTTCTTGGTATGTGCCAACCATTGTACTAGATACTTCCCTATAGTATGGCACTTAAAGAACATCTCCTTCCAAAGAAGATACAGTTTTACTCAAGTTTTATAGATGAGGAAATTGAGGATTAAGTAACTTTCCCAAGGTTACATATCAGGTCTTTGACCCCAGATCTACATGTCTCTAAACCATGGGTGTTTTAAAACACAAACAAATTACACAGATACTAAGCCAAGCTCATATTTTTTCCTCATTGTACTATTTCCTACGGAATTATGGCAGAGGAGGGGCAGAAAAAGAATCATAGAGGCAGAAAACCCTTCAAAGGTTCTAAATGTCAGCCTTGGGTAATACCACGCAAAGCATCAAAGAGTGATGCTTATTTCTTTCATTACTAAATAAAACCTAGAGGAAGAGAGTCCATTCCTCATGCCTGTTTTAATTTTGAACCAAATAAAAACTCACGGTGGAATAAGAACTCATTCTTATGCCTTCAAATCAAAGAATCCTATATATGGACTCTGCAATCATCAAGCCACTT